TTAGGCGGCGGATTGCCTGAGGTTAGGAGTTCGAAACCAGCCTGAGCAAGAGCGAGACCCCGTCTCATTATAAATACAAAGAAATTAATGGCCAACTAATATAATAGTAAAAAATTAGCCGGGCATGGTGGCGCATGCCTGTAGTCCCAGCTACTTGGGAGGCTGAAGCAGGAGGACGCTGAGCCATTTGAGCCCAGGAGTTTGAGGTTGCTGTGAGCTAGGCTGATGCCACGGCACTCACTCTAGCCTGGGCAACAAAGCGAGACTCTGTCTAAAAAAAAAAAAAAAGAATAGAATTGTATAAGCATTTCATCTCCAGGTTTCTGTGTGAACAGTACTTTTCCTTTCTCAAGGATAAATACCTAGAAGTGGGATTGCTGGATCATATGTAAGAGTATGTTTTGTCTTAGAAGAAAGTGCTAGACTTTTTCAGAGTGGTCATCCTATTTTACATTCCCACTAATAATGTATGATTGTGCTTGTTTCCCCACATTCATGTCTATACAATGTTGTATTTATAATTTTTTCCAGTTGATGAGCTCTAAACAGTATATCAGTGTCCATTTTACATTTCTCTGTGAGTGATTTTGAGATTTTTCATAACCGCTGAGAGGCATTTTTATATCTTATTTTGTGACCAAGTCTTTTTTTTTGTTTTTTTCATTTTCCTTTCAGGTTTTTGGTCTTTTTTCTCAATTTTTAAGACTTTTTTACATATTAGAAATGTTACCCCTTTGTCTGTGATACATGTTGCAAATACTTTCTCCTAGTTTGTCAGTTTTCTTTTGACATTATGGGTTTTATGCCTTACAGATTTTTTTATTTTTATGTAAATTCATCATTGTTTTATTTTGTCTGGATTTTGAGTGATAGAAAACCTTTCCCTGTTCCATAGTTAAGAGGACTCTATGTTTTCTACTAGTACTTGTATAGTTTCATTTGATCCTTAATCTGAGTTTGTTGGGTTTTTTGTTTTTTTTTTGAGATAGGGTCTCACTGTGTCACCCAGGCTGGAGTGCAATGGCATGATCATAGCTCACTGTAACCTTGAGTTCCTGGGTTCAAGTGATCCTCCCTCCTTAGCCTCCCAAAGGGCTGGAATTATAGGCTGGAGCCGGACTGTGCCACTGTGTTTATTCTTATGTATTTTGTGAGATATAGATTAATGTTATCTTTTTCTAAATAGTCACCCAGTTATCCATTACCATTTATTAAAGAGTTCCTGTTTACCCCAGTTATTTGGAGATACCACCTTTACCAATATATGAAATTTCTATATGTAGTTGGTCTGTTTCTGGACTTTTTACTATTCTCTGGTCTCATTGTGTTTTAGTAAGACACTGTTTTATATGGAGATTTCAGAATGTGTGTTAATGTCTGGTAGGGCTAGTCTTCCTTTGTACTGGTTTTTTTTTTTTTTTTTTTTAGACAGAGTCTCGCTTTGTTGCCCAGGTTAGAGTGCCGTGGCATCAACCTAGCTCACAGCAACCTCAAAGTCCTGAGGTCAAGCGATCCTCCTGCCTCAGCCTCCTGAGTAGCTGGAACTACAGGCATGGTGACTACACCCAGCTAATTTTTCTGTTCTTTTGGTAGAGACTGGGTCTCACTCTTGCCCAGGCTGGTCTCTAATGCCTAAGCGCAAGCAATCTTCCCACCTTGGCCTCTCAGAGTGCTAGGATTATAGGCGTGAGCCACTGTGCCTGGCTCTATTCCATATTTTTAATGTTAATATATATAAATGAACCTTTGGGCTTTTAAGGTGTTTAAATTGTCTTATTGACCAATTTTTAAAAAATAGACTTTTAGATATGCTACAGTGATGGGCTATTTTTTCAGCCGTATGTACTGAAACTAAATTTTTACCTTAGATTGCAATATATTGCTGAACATAAGCAATTTTTCAGAGATACAGGGAAAAGAGCAATCAGGAGCAAGTGGGGGAAGCAACATGTGCAATAGACTTGAGTCCCACAGATACCTGCTAGGGAGGGAGAGAGGGATACTGAGACAGAGAGAGACATTTAGATACTTGGAAAGATATCGATACACATACATGGAGATGTATAACTTTGCTTTAAGAAATTAAATTATTCTTTTGGTTATTTTTGTAATTACCTACAAATAGTTGAGAAAATAACAGTTTTACAAATTGTTAGAATTTGTCCCCTTTTCAAAAAATAAAAAGGGAAACCAAAAAATAAATAAAATAGATTTTATTATTTAGATTAAAGAATTATTTTATTAAGCACTCACCATAACAGAATTATAATTTACTAAATGAAGTTTTATTTTGGAATACTTTGTTTCAAAGATCACAGGAAGAAATGTGGGTGCTGGCAAAGAAGTGATTTGAATCACTGCTTGGCAATAATATAGCATGGTGAAATGCATATTTGTGTGTTTTGTTTATAGCACATCTTCATTACCTCCACTAGACTGGCCTTTACCAACTCATTTTGGACAGTGTGAACTGAAAATAGAAGTGCAACCTAAAACTCATCATCGAGCCCATTATGAAACTGAAGGTAGCCGAGGGGCAGTAAAAGCATCTACTGGGGGACATCCTATTGTGAAGGTATGAGACTTGGGGCTTGTTTCGCAGATACCATACACCCGTTAATGGTTAGACAGGTCTGTTCAGTTAGGTACTACAGATCCCAAAAGAGAAAACTCAAAAACTAGAGAGCCTCTTTTGTTTTGTGTGCTTGTTGTTATGGCCACACTTCTGCACTGAATTTTCTTTGCTAGGCTAAAAGATATTCTTCCTAGACTCCAGCTGAGGCAACTCTAGGGAGAGTTTACACTGGTGAGATAGCTGGGTTTTTTTGGTTGTTGTTTTGTTTTTGTTTGTTTTGGGTTTTTTTTTTTTGAAGAGCAATTTCCAGGAAGAGATAGCTGTTTTTTTGATTAAAAAAAAAAGAGAGATTATTGTGTTTATGAATATGCTCATTTTAAATTTAAGTAATACAGAAAAGTAGAAAAAAATAAAGCAATAAATTACCCAATCTAACCCTCTTCGAAATAGTGTTAACATTTAACGTTCCAGATATTCTTTGTGTGTATATTTAGTGAAAGATTGAATAGATAACTAGAAAAATGAATGAATTTTTTAAGAGTAGGATTATACTGAACATTTTTGTAATTAAAGTATAAAATTTTTATTTGAATTTATTAGAAGAAAATAAAACTAAAGTGAAGTTTTAAAAATTATGTATTTGATATATATGAAATATGTCATATATAAAGTGGGTTTTTTTGTTTTTTTGTTTGTTTTTGAGACAGTCTAGCTTTGTTGCCCAGGCTAGAGTGAGTGCTGTGGCATCAGCCTAGCTCACAGCAACCTCAATCATCTGGGCTCAAGCAATCCTCCTGTCTCAGCCTCCCGAGTAGCTAGGACTACAGGCATGCGCCACCATGTCTGGCTTATTTTTTCTATATATATTAGTTGACCAATGAATTTCTTTCTATTTATAGTAGAGATGGGGTCTCACTCTTGCTCAGGCTGGTTTCGAACTCCTGACTTCGAGCAATCCGCCTGCCTCGGCCTCCCAGAGTGCTAGGATTACAGGCATGAGCCACCGCTCCCGGCCTATATAAAGTTTTTAATCATAACAATATTAACTTTAATTTTACTTGAATAGTACATAGAAAAATGAAACTAAAGTAAAAGTAAGAACTGCTGAATCTTAAATACCGTTCTTCATTTTAAGAGTTCCTAAGAGATCTAAGGCCAGAAAAAGAGATTAAATAAATTATTGAGAGATTGAACTCATTGTTTCAGATTTAGATGGTATGAATTGACTCCTTGCTCTGAAAAATAAGGTGTAATTGTCTCTCGTAAACTTCCTCCCCCTTTTCTACTCTACCTCTTGAATTTTGTTGATATACTATTTTTCCTTTTCTAGCCACTCACTACCCTCCCCAAATTGTTTAGTCTTAGTCTGTATCTAGCTGGATTCAATGCTTACTACTAGTGCTTTTTTATCTATTTCATTGTTAGATTTTTTTTTGTTTTTTTTTAAGAGGCTTTGGTTCTATATTCTTGGATTCTTTGAAGGGGTTTGAGATGTCTTTGTTGCATTTTTATATATCATACAACATCGAATGGCTATATATAATAATCCTTGATCACCTTTTTCTCTTCAGAACTGCATAGAATTTTTCTTGTTGTCTTATGCATGAGTATAGTAGTAAGGGAGGGTGAACAAATTATACGGAAGTGATTTCCAACAGATACAATTTATGAATGGTCATATTTTATCTGAGCCATGCTTTTATGATTATTTTATAAACGTATTTCATAGTTCTTTTTTTCTTTTTTCAAGACAGAGTCTTACTCTGTTGCCAGGGCTAGAGTGCCGTGGCGTCAGCCTCGTCTCACAGCAACTCAAACTCCTGCCTCAAGTGATCCTCCTACCTCAGCCTCCCAGTAGCGGGACTACAGGCATCGCCACCATGCCCGTAATTTTTCTGTTTTTAGTTGTTTGTTAATTTCTTTCTATTTTAGTAGAGATTGGGGTCTCGTCTCTTGCCAGGCTGGTCTCGAACTCCCTGGCTCAAATAATCTGCCACTCATCTCCCAGAGTACTAAGGGTTACAGGCGTAGCCACCGTCCCGGTCGATTCTCGTATTCTTTACAAAGATTTACATTTTAGATGGGTTTTACCATGATCTGTAGTAAGAAATGTCAGGAAATCAACACATAGGAATTTGCCTTGTTTATTAGAGTCACTATGTGTGTAGTATAATATATATATATATATATTTAGACAGCAGTTACTTTTTGCCTGGTATGAGTGCCGCTGGGGTATCCTAGCTCACAGCAACTAAACTCCTGGGCTCCAGTAATCCTTCTGCCTCCCCCAAGTATCTTGGGATTACAGCACATGGCCCATACCCGGCTAATTTTTTCTATATATATCTATTTAGTTTCGCCCTAATTTCTTTTTTTTTTTTTTTTTTTTTTGCAACACGAGTTTACTCTGTGGCCGGGCTAGAAGTGATGTGGGTCAGCCTAGTTCACGAACCCAAATTCTGGCTCAAGCAATCTTGCCTGCGCCTCCCTAGTATAGGAGGAATACCAGCTGCACCACATGCTAGCTAATTTTTTCTTATATTTATTTTTAAGGTGCATTAAATTTTTCTTTTAAGTAGAGACAGAGTCTTACTCATGCTCCGGCTGTTTCGAACTCCTGACCTTGAGCTGTCCTCCTGCCAGAGTGCTAAGATTACAGGCGTGAGCCACTGCGCCTGGCCCCATATTTTGTTTTTAAATGAGTTTATTTCAGTTTGATTAAGGAAGCAAGTTCTTTGCTCAGTTTCCTGTCTCTTTGACTTTACCTTCCAGGGGAGAAATTCTTTACAAGTACATAAATGAAAAGTGTTTTGGGGTCCACATGATTTGTTTCCACAGTTCTCCTTTAATTAAAAACTGAGCTGGGTCAGGCGTGGAAGCTCATACTTGTAATCCTAGTAGCTTGGGAACCCAAGGTAGAAGGATTGTTTGAGGCTTGGAGTTTGAAATCAGACTGGGCATCATAACAGGACCCTGTCTCTACAAAAAATGTTTTAAAAATTCTCTGAGCCCTTTTCCGCCTCTGCAAAACCTGGGAGGTCCCCACCTGGCCGAAAACGACGGATCTCATCATCCTATTCCCTTCTGTGTTCCCTGTCCTCAATTCCCCTCAATAAAGTGGTTTGACCTCAAAAAAATAAATAAATAAAATTAGCTGACAGTAGTGACACATGCATGTAGTCCTAGCCACTTGGGAAGATGAGGTGGGAGGATTGCTTGAGCCCAGGAGTTCAAAGTTACAGTGGGATATAATCGCGTCAGTGCACCCCAGCATGGGCAACAGAGCTAGATCTTGTCTGTTAACAATAACAAAAAAAAATGAGCTGGACACTGTGGTACCTGCCTGTAGTCCTAGCTACTGAGGATGTAGTGTGCAGTGATCATGCCCGAGAATAGCCACTGCACTCCTCCCTAGGCAACATAGCGAGACCCGTCTCTTAAAATAAAAACCAAAGAAACAACTGATTCCCTTCTCAAGGGGAGATTAACACTTCTGGTGTCATCAATATTTTTATATTCTTGTGAGTGACTCTTATTTCTTGTTGCTTGAAGAATTATTTTATAATACTTGAAACGAATTAACTTGACCACAGTATGTCTGGATGCTGCTGGTTCTTTGTTAGTCCTTCCCAGTACTTAAGATGTTCTCTTTCAGTCTGAGATTCTTTCTTCTTTCATGCCAGAAAATTTTTCTATATTGTGTATTTCTTGTTCCATTTGTTTTGTCATTTACTTCAGTGGCTCTAATTATTATTCAGATGTTTACTTGTCTTTGTCCTCTATATCTGTATTCTTTTCTCTGGATGCTTTAATATCTTTTCTTATTATTTATTGTGATTTTTTTTTAGCCTTACTTCCCATGTTATTGAATGATTATTGCTTGGTGCTTCTAATTTATTATTAAATCTGCAGTTATGTTTTGAATTTCAATTTAATTCTTTGGCTCCATTTTCTACTCATTTGATATTTTATTATTATATTTGCTCTCTTGATTTCTTAAATTTATATTCTTAAATTTTTTAGTGGTGGCCACCTAGCACGATACCTGGCTCGGTGTGTGTTTTTAGTTTTTTTTTTTTTTTTTTTTTAGACAGAGTCTCACTTTGTTGCCCAGGCTAGAGTGAGTGCCGTGGCATCAGCCTAGCTCACAGCAACCTCAATCTCCTGGGCTCAAGCAATCCTGCTGCCTCAGCCTCCCAAGTAGCTAGGACTACAGGCATGTGCCACCATGTCCAGCTAATTTTTTCTATATATAATAGTTGGCCAATTAGTTTCTTTCTATTTATAGTAGAGACGGGTCCATCTTGCTCAGAGATGTTGAACTGCTGACCTTGAGCAGTCCGCCTGCCTCGGCCTCCCAGAGTGCTAGGATTACAGGCGTGAGCCACCTCGCCCGGCCCTGTTTTTAGCTTTTGAAAGGCGTTTTTTCCTTTTAATTATGTTCTTTAAATGCATTTTTGTGTAATTTGTTACTTTATTCATTAAATAAAAACAAAACCAAAAAATCTATATTATGATGGCCTAATTGCCATGCCTTTTGTCTCCATTTTGTTTGACAGCCTTGGTCTAATAGCCAGCTGGGCTTGGGGTAAAGAGGTAGAAAATTAGATTAGGATAGTCCTTGTTGGGTTTGGCTAAAGAAAGTAGACAATATTATGCATTACAGCCTACTGTAAGCATTTCCGTGTATGTTATATTTTCATGAGTGTGGCTTGTTCCCCTAGTACAATACAGAGTTCTGGAAGATAGTGAGTAAGCCCTAGTGACCCTTATTCTGTCTCTGTCAAAGAGTCTGGAGCAGAATGTAGGATCATTTATATATTTACCAAAAATTCTATTTTAATCTGCATACTTAGGTTATAGGATTTCTTCACTTCCAATTTGTTTTTTTCTTTCTTTTAAAAACATTTTTTTTTTTTTTAGACAGAGTCTCGCTTGTTGCCCAGGCTATAGTGAGTGCCGTGGCGTCAGCTTAGCTCACAGCAACCTCAAAACTCCTG